GCGGCGACGGCGACGAAGGCGAAGACGATTACGACGATGACGACGGCGGTGGCGGCGACTGCGCTACGTGAGCACGCACGACGCACGTACGCACGCACACATACACTCGCGTTTCACTGCGCGCGATACGGCACGTGAAACAGGCGTTTCCCGCGATTCTGCTCCATATATATGAGAGAGCGGAGCACACCCGGAGCCCGTGTTCCCCGTCCGAGTGTTATTGTCGATCGCGCCGGAGTCTCACGCCTTAACGAGGTTACCCGGAGGGAGCGGTCGTGCACGATCGCCTTCGCTCGAACACCACCTCTGCTAGGCACTCATTTACGGAACGGCTTAGATTCGCGTGCTACACGCTATTCTTGGACGCGCTCCCTCGCGCTCCATGCCGGACAGGAGCTCGGACACGAAACTCTCGGACTCGCGTCGTCGCCAACGCGGCCAACCGTCGCTGTTCCTCAACAAATACCGACTAGGAAATTTCAATGGCGAGTGGCGACATCTTTGTCCCCACGAAGCGAGTTCTCTTATTGGACGTTTAAAAAATTCCTAGGGTCGGCGTTCGTAGTGGGATGTTACATTTAGGACCATCTCAATTCTCAAGTGCTATCTTAAGATGTTGTGTACCAATCATGGTCTTAAAATAAAAACTGATAATGAATACCGCCCTTATTTATATAAATAGATTGCATATTTATTTGCGAAATTTATTATTTTTATATATTTATTTCTTAATTTATTTAACTCGGATGTTTTTCCTGAAACACAATAGATGTAGACCGGTATTTATGGCCGGTATTCATAGTCGGATCTTAATATTTGAGACCGTCTTAAGTAGTCTTAAGATGTCATGAACCAATCAGAAGAGGCTGCATTAGCGATATAAGAAATTATTCAAGATAGTCTTAAAATAAAAACCTACTATGAATACACCGGTCCATAAGTTCGTTCTTATTTCAAGACCGTCTTAAGTAATGTTTTAAGATGCTAATACAGCTCTCTAATTGGTTCGTGACATTTTTAAGACTATAGCGTTTTTCAATAGTCTGTATATTTGCGGCCTTTTCTTTTAATCATTTTTGTACGTTATCCTAGTTTTATTATTTATTTTTAAGAATTTTTGCAAATTTTCCCTCTTATTTTGTTATATTTCATACTTTGCCATTTGAAATTTTTTACGTATTAAGATTTGCACTCTGAGTGCAATTCGATACAAACCGAAGTGTTAATAAATAATTTTACTCTTTTAATTATATATTCTTTATTGTCATGATAATCTTAGAAAAAGGATTAAATTATTTATTAACAATATTAACGCTGAAAATATGTAAACCAATTTGCACTCAATTGCACCATTTGCACTAAAAAGCATGCAATAAATACAAATCGCTTTATTCCCTAGTCGATGTTCGGAGGCATGGAGGTCATAAATTGCAATGCATCTTCCCATTCCATCAGACTATTATCTCGAGTAGCACATGATTCATGCCGTAGTACTTGTTCTTTTTTTTCCTTCTTTACGCTTTTTCATCACCATGGGATATGTAATTTTGATTTTCCCGAGACTCATCGTCGATTGAAGGTTAATTATCCCGTCTTAAATAATTCTAAGCTAGGATAAGTCGCGACAAAAATTCGAGTGCGATCGACCTGACGAGATGGATACCGAGCACGTACTGAAGAACGACATCTCCAGCCGTTAGTGACGGCTGGCTGATGCTGCAGAATCTGCAGGATCGTGAATTCGGCCAGCTAATCGATTGCGAGGATACCCTGAGGGATATCCTTCGGGGTAAGATAGCGAACGTGTCGGAGGTGCCGAAAATCATGGCCTGGATGTCGGGACATATCACGGAGAAACGTTTCAATATCAATCCCATTTCGAACGACGTCGCCCTGCTGTTACAGAACACGGACATCGACGACATGTCGCACCTGACTGAGCTTCTCAACACATTGGTGGAGCACAGGGCATACCTGCCCCGGTCGGCGAATCACACGAAGCTCTGTGAGGCGATAGTCACAAGTCTGTCTTCCTTTCAAATGCCCTTGGAGCCGAAAAAAATATCAGAGTTTTATGACAACACTACTAAGATCCAGCATTTTCTCAAGGGGTTGTGTTCAAACATAAAGAACGGCGAGCGTGACATTCTAATGTTTACTTGTCTCCAAACTTTGTACAATATTATATCTGACACAAACAGAAAGCAGGAGCCAGGCCCGGGACTCGCTACCATATTACAGCTTGTGGAAGCTTCCGTTATTCCACAGGCGGTAGACTGGATCTTATCTCAGTCCCATACCGATCATCAATTGATACAAGCCTTAAAAGTTCTGTGCAATTGGTTACCGAAATGGCTTGAAGATCGACTGAGTGTTTGGATTATGGAATTCATACGTGGTTTAGAGAAACAACAAAAGTATTCTACTCTTCTTGAACTTACAGAATCGTCGATAGATATACTAGTGTTAATGTGCAGCGTGTTGCTAGTACCGGTAATACGTCAAAATGCTTCCAACATTATATTTTACATCTTGAAGAGGCAAAGTTCAATGTCGTTTGTTCAGAATGTAGTTAAAAGAATACCAGCGTTGATAAAAGATCTGATGAAGGAAGATTCAGATTCCAGTAAAGAGTGCATACAGAATTTGGTCGACATCATGAAAGTCTACAGCAAGAGATTTTCTACTTGTATGCCATGTGGAAATACAGAGAATTATCCTTATCCCGTACTACCACGAATGCATGTTGTCAAAGAACTCTGCAGAGAGCCAGTGTGGATAGACGAGACAAAAGAGTTTGAACCAATCGTGGAACCAGAAAGGCCATTGTCTGGAAAAGTTGGACTATCCAATCTGGGAAATACTTGCTACATGAATAGTGTACTACAAGCCTTATTAATGACCAGACAATTCTGCCAAGAAGTATTGAACTATCGTTCTTTAAATGAATCGGGTAAAACACCCTTGCTGGAGAGACTTCAAAATTTGTTTGCATTGCTATTATATTCTAAGAGAATATGTTTGGCACCGACTGAGATATTACGAGCGTCGCGGCCAACGTATTTTTTGCCTGGACAGCAACAGGACAGCTCAGAATTTCTCTGGTTAGTATTTTGTTTTGTTCATATCATTTTGAAATTTTTATAATTGAAAAATTCTATTTGTTACATCAATAAATAAATGAAAATTAGATATATTAGTAAAATTTATAAATAAAACAGTCAAATTTATATTTATTCTCTTTCTATTTATATATAAAAATTTAACTATTAATATAACTTTTTTTATAGTCATCTTCTGGATGTCCTGCACGAGCAAGAAAAATCTGCCAATTCAAACTGTGGAGGGAATGATAGCGCAGCAACTCTTAAATGTAAAATTGAAAAGCAAGAAGATGACGTAACATTGCCGATGGAGCCAACAAAAAGTAGTATTAAACGATGGACAACTGAAGAAGATTTAACAGAAGGCTTGGCTTTACAAAGAAAAACACAATCATTGGCGGATTTTACACGAGGTAACTTTTGTTTATATATGATTGAATAAATTATAAACATGCTCTCGAAATCTCCCAATTTTACTGTTTATATTTACAAAACAGTTAGATGATACATTTTGTATTGAATATTTTGAATGTTTTTGTAACAGGTGAAGAACTAGGACAACGGCTTAGCGATTCTCATTCGGATTCAACCGACAGCGGTATACAATCCGTAGGCGGTGAAGAAACAGGCACTTACACGTCTCTTGTACATAGAGTACTAGGTGGAGAGTGTCAGATCACTTATCAATGTGCACAATGTGACACTAGCTCTCGCAATACAGACAAATTTCGCGACCTGCAGTTGTGTTTTCCTGAAGAGATACAGGAGAACCAAGAAGTTTCCGTTCAAGATCTCATTAACTATTATCTCACACCGGAGAAACTTACGGGAGAGAACAAGTATCGATGCGACAAGTGTACGAAATTATGCGACGCGCAGAGGATCATTACAATCTTACAAGCACCCGCGCATTTGATTCTAACGCTGAAACACTTTCGATATGATTTTGATTCTCGATTAAGGACAAAACTTCGGCATAAAGTAGTATATAATGATACTATACAGTTGCCAGTATCGGCGATACCATATACCATAGCCGAAACGTATCACTTGTATGCTGCCGTTGTGCATTCTGGATATAGTATGGATTATGGACACTATTTCACGTATGCTTGTGATTCCAAGCAGAATTGGTATAAATTTAATGACAGTTTTGTAACCCAAACCACGTTTGAGGACTTCAAGAGCTTGAAACCTCCTGATACACCCTATATATTGTTCTACGAAAAGTCGGGAGCTCATGATGGGATCTATGAAGATGATAAGCCCGAATTGTCAACTTTAAGTAAACGTTTACAGGAATTAGTAGCGAATGACACTACAGATTATATAGAGGAGCTCAGACGTCGAGCGATAGCGTCACAGCGTAGTCAACTTCCGACAAAACCTTTGAGACAGCATAACAATACCGATGATGATAATCCGCCACCCAGTAGTTGTCGCGGTGCAATCGACGTTCCGGCGAATCGTTTTCTTTATTGAAAGAAAGAATCTGTTACACACAAACCGCGATAATCTTGCCAATTGCAAACCACTTTGTATTTGTGTGTGTTCTAAGTATTTTATATATATATATGTATACATTAAAGAATCACCCAATCACATCATATATAATCTGAAAAAAGTGCGTTTTATGGTTCTATACCATATCGTATCGCTGTAGAAAATTTCATTAAGGATATTAGATTTTACATCTTACATTTACCAAATGGAATATACATATATCACTATACATGTACATCACTATTTTAACTCGACGACAGTTACGTTGTCTGAAAAATAGTTATGGAAGCTATGCAAAACAGTGCAGAGTGCAATGATAATCGGGACTTGAATCTGTGCAAAACGGATATGTACATAAAACGTAACAAATATATATGTGAGTGGTAATTACACGAATGAACAAATAGGTTCATACATATATGGTATATACGAAACATGAAATACGTATTAAGCTATAAAATAAACTGGTATTTTTATTTATTAGATACTGGTAATTTATTATAATGTGTTCAGTATCTTTTCAAATTAGTTTGATTATTTTAAAATTTATGCGTCATTAAGGAGAATTATATACTGGAATATCTCAAGTTTTATTTTTCTCATCACACTTTTATAAAATTTTATAGTAATTATGTGAACGCGCGCGTGTGTGCGTGTGTACTTGATTAGTTCAGCCGTTATTGAAATCCAATAATCTCGATCGCAACTTACGGTCCCGCGTAAAGAAACGATAGTGTCGCTGCACTTGGCTTAGCGTCGAGGCACTACCGTGTCTCCTGCTGTATGAGCGTGTGTGAACACTACTAAATTATATTTCCTTAAATATATAACATTTCTCATTTTACCTCAGCAAGTATATTAAACATTTTCAAAGCACAATTATAATTTTATTAGTACACTAATTTTTTACATTATTTATATGATGTAATATTATATTTTTCTTTATGTAATATTCGTCTTTATTTATTTAGTACATTTGGAAAAAGTTGTTCAGCAAGCATTTGAAGTACTATTTGTATAATGAAAAAAAAGTTTCTGAAAATGTTGATCTTTTGTTTTTTTGAAGATACCTCGTTTTATTTGAATTATTTATGAATTATTTTGTTAGAAATTTCAAATTAGAAATCAAGGGTGAGCAAATAACAAGTGCCTCACTCTACTACAAAATATTACAAAATTCTACTGATAAAAATTTTTTAGTACGTATACTTTATCAATAGATATAATAATCCTGACACTTTATGTCGGTAAAATTTTGTGAAATTTTGTATGTGAACTTATAATAATCTATTTATGAATTCTGTATAAAAATAAATTACTCTCGATAGTTAAGTAACACAAATTCTTTAAGAATAAACTAGTTAATTATACATATACTATATAGAACATGTTGTGATGTCAATAAATAAAAATATCGTGACATCGTTAACTTGAAAATTAATAACTTGAATGGATTTTATAGTACTATGTCGTGAATTTTACATATTTATTAAAGAAGTATCATTCGCGGAGTGCTTGTGTGAGTTACCAGTGTTGTTACGAAAATATTAAGAAAAAAATGAGATACGATCATCGGCTGTGGTTCTTTGTACATGTGTTGTGTTATTACAAAACAGTATTTACTAAGTACAACACATATTACCTGATTTAATATTGTTATAATTGTTACGTTGCAATCGCTTGTAAGCTTATTGAACGCACCTTATCGTAAAGAACGTAACTTATAAAATAAAATTAGTGTAATTAATAGGCATGTGTATATATATATATGTATAAGTATATACGTCTTTTTATTATAATATAACATATGCGATGTTTGTCTAAATGTGCCACAACGAGCTTTTATTTATCAACTCGACTTTTATCACTTACCCTCAAAGTTGTCAACCTTTGCTAATTAATGAAGAGTCTGTTTTTTAAAATAACAGTTGGACATACAATATTATACTTATATATGATGCGGTCATTTAAAAATTATAGCAAAATAAAAGTTCTTTATGCTTCAGAATTACAAAAGTTGGAAGAATATATTTGTTATTTTATAAATAGTTTATATTTTAATTATAAGGATACTGCGCGATATTCCAAACTCTCCGTAAATCTGTGATAACTTTTTACTGTCGAATTGACACAATATTAATTTTTTAAACTCATTGTATGACAAAACCGTTGAGAGAGATGCAAGTGCCGCTACCAGGTCAGTCGGTGACACAGCGACCCCAGGAGCCGCGATGGACGAGTCCGTCGAGTCAGACACCGGAGAAGAACGTAAACCGGTAACGGATGGAGAAACAGGGACCTCAAGAGACCCCACCATCCTCGGAGGAGAAGCCGCAGAACCAGGCAAAGAGTCCGTGCAATCAGAAACATGACAATTGTTATCAGATCCGCAAAATGTGCAGAGGCGCGTTGCACGCGGTAAAAATCTCTTGCATTTGAAACACACCGGCGGACTCATATTTAACGCTTGTACAGATGAATATTTAAATACAACGGTATATTTAGTCCTTGTGTTAAGTACTTATTAAATTGCCAATAACACAAAGAAAAATTAAAGGTGACTAAAAAACATTCGCAAAAACAAACAAAAGGCAGAAGTACATTATAACTATACATATATTACTTACAAAAATCAAAAATTAACGGCCGATGGCAACTCAATGTACTGCAATAATTAGTGACCTAATTTACACGGAAATATATAATAGAAATCAAAAAGATAGACACATTTGTACAGAATAACATATAGAGCTCTCATACAATCCCCTACATCGATCCTACTCGATAATGGAGTCAAAGACTTTTATATCGACCAAGAGTTACACGACACGAAATGATATATAAGACGGAAAGATACACAAAAACTGCACAAAAATTAATAATTCACAAATTATTTCGAGTGCAAATTATAAGCACAGAAGCGTGAAACACAGACTAAGAGCGAAAACGATGAACGGATCAGAAATATTACGGAATAACGACTCCAAAACCGAGAGAGCGACAGACAGAGATGTTTACAGTACGACGGTTCGCGACTGACTCGCGACTGACTCTTTAGTAAGTATAGTCAATGTTCTATAACATTGGAATAATTAAATTTATGTTTGTAAAAGAGAAAATAAAGGTTCATTTATTGTCAATGTCAACTAATATTAATATTGTGCTAATATTATAAATATTTAACACTATTTAAAATATAATTCTCTGAAAGATTAATGTAAGCTTATATTAATTATAATAAATTTCTTAAAAATGTTATAAAGTAATTGTATTGTTTTTACACACACACATATATATATATATATATATATACACATATATATACACCATATACACATATATCATTACATAAACCTAATTTGTAATTTTAATTACACAAGATTGATTTCTTAGAAGAGTAAAGATAATTATACATATACATAATATACATATATGTACATATATAATTTTGCGCAATTACTAAAATTACCGATTTGATTTATGTAATGAGATATACATATACATATATACAGGGTGTCTGGTAAGTTTTGTCAAAGGGCTCGTGTGCAGATAGTACGGACTATAAACTTGTGAGTCGAAAAGTCCGCATCATTTTGCAATTTTCGCAATATAGTTAACAAGATATTAATTACTAAAAATCGCTGAATATTGATTTTCAATAATTTTTTACTCAAATACTATCAACTTTACAGAAAAACAGCGAGAGACAAAAATTGTTTATTTCCTTCTCATAAAGTTCTGAGAATTTTTTCAGAATTTTTTAATATCGTATTTTCTCTGTTGGTAAAAATAGTCAATAAAAAAATGCAATACTAAAAAGTTCATAAAAATTTTTAAAGTTCTATGAGAAGAAAACAATTTTTATCTCTCGTAGTTTTTCTGTAAAGTTGATAGTATTTGAGAAAACAATTATTGAAGACTAATATTCGGTAATTTTTAGTAATTAATATCTTGTTAATAACTATTGTAAAAATTGCAAAATGGTACAGGACTTTTCGACTCAGTTTAGTCCGCTCTATCTATACAAGAGCGCTTAGTAAAAAATTTTGGGACACCCTATGTATATACAATACGTGTATATATTTATTTGCGCGCGTGCGGGTGTGCTGTGTGTGTAGATACATATGTATATCAGAGTTGGAAATGTTATCTTAAAAAAATAACGCGTTACCGTTATAGTTAATTTTTGTTAAAAATAGGAAGTTTTTGCAATAACATGGATCCAGAAACGGTGAACGCTAAAGTCACGTTTTTAAAGTAAAGTCCTTTTCTTAATTAGTTGTTAAAAAGAAGATAACGTGACCTTAGCGTTCACCGTATCTAGGTAAACAGTATTGCAAAAACTCTCTATTAACTCATTACCGTTATCGGTACTTGAAAAAGTAACGAATCGTTACTTTTCGGGAAATTGTTGAGTTTAGCTCCCATACGGTGTTGATAAAATTAGGCTTATTCAATGCGTTTTTGCACAAAAAATGACCGAATCTGACAGAAACAATCATTGGAAGTTAAATTCAACAATTACCGAATTTAAATTAAATATTGTTTTTAAACTTTAACGTCATTATTAAACATGTATATTTCAAGATTTACTTCCAGTACTGAAAATCCGTAGTATATATGTAATGTAAATTACAGATTTTCAACACTGATAATAGTAATTACCGGAATGGAGTCTAAGATATAAAATATAAAATATTTTTTATGAAATATATAAAAATGAGAAAGTAAACATTTTATAATTATATTTGTTACAAATGATAATCGTTTATTATATATAATACAATGTTAAATTGTAAATATATAGTATACTTACACAAGCATTTAAAAATTTTAAGTATTTCACTCATTTGTTGTAACGATGACGAAACTAGAAGTACATTTCTAGGGACACAAAAGTGAAACATCTTTCAACGCCAGCAATATCGAAATATGATCCAATAAAAATTAAAGTAATCATAAAAGTAGCGACTGAATCGTTACTGCAAAAATGTAACAACATTACCGTTATTGTTAAAGACAGAAAAAGATAACGATCGTTATAAAAAAAATAACAAATAAATAACTGCGTTATAAGTAATAACACGTTACTTCCCAACTCTGATAATGTTATATACGAGGGTGGATCAGATATAAACGAGAATTCTCTTTTTATTATTTATCGGACGAGAATAAAAATATAAAGGAAACAAATTATTTTTCTACATAGTTCCCTGCTACATTAATTTTACCAGCGGATAGACAGTTTAGCGATCCTGTTTTCATTAAAAATAGTAGATTGTGTCTGTAGCTAATTGCGCACGAATTCTTCTATACTGGAATCATCCTCGAATCTTCCTAATTTTTTTAGACGCTCACACAAATGATAATTGAGATAAATTTTTCTATACGATTATCATTTGTTTGAACCATTGAAAGAAGAATTGGGAAGATACGATTCGTGGAATTCGATGTCAGTGGAATTCTTGCGCAATTAACTGCAGACACAACCTACTCCTTTTTATGAAAATAGGATCGCCAAACTGCCTATCCGCTGGCAAAAATATATTAATGTAGCAGGGTACTATATAAAAAAATAATTTGTTTTTTTTTTACATTTTTATTCTTGTCCAATAAATAATTTCCAAAAAAAATTTCTCGTTTATATTTGATTTATCCTGATTATGTATATTAATAATACATATGATCTTTTAGACTTTATAAAAAATAATGACTAGTATTCACTGTCGGTTCTTATATTTGAAACTATATATTTTAAGTACAGTCTTAAGATGTCATAAATGACATACCTCTGTAATCACAGGTCGGTATTCCCATTGTCGGTTTGTGTATTTAAAATTATCTTAAGTACGGTCTTAAGATATCATAAATCAATTACAGAGCCTCATTAATATCTTAAGACATTTGTAATCCGTTTTTATTTCCAGACTGTCTTATGTAATATCTTAAGATGTTAATACGGTTTTTTGATTAGTTCATAATATTTTAAGATTGTGTTTAAGACAGTCTCAAATAAGGATCGACTATGAATACCGGCCTATAAATTTCGGCCAAAGAGCAGTATTAATGAATATCAGCTAAAGATATGATAAAATAATTTTCCTGACAATTTCATAAAATGTTTAATAAATATTAGGACATTAATATTTATGCAGCTTATTATTTCGTTTGCTAATGGCAATTGTGATCTGGAGACACTGGTAGTGTCTCGGCGCTAAGATACGCTCAGCGACACTATCGTTAATCTCTTGAAACTCTTTAGATAAAGCTGATAAGATATTATCTACATCTAAATGAGAATTTTATTCATCGTTACAACTCAATCATTTGATATTTAAACGCGATACATGGTGGTAGCAAAACCATGAAGAAAGTATATCTCGCTGCTGTAGCAGGTACGCCATTGGGATAAAATTGAGTAAAATTTTATCAGAAACGGATTTTAATATTTTATTATCTCCACTTTAAATTAAAATATTTCTTTAGATGTAGAAATAAACGTTCTAGAATCAAAAGAATTTCACGAGTAAAATTAACGAATAGAGAATAATTTTTCAAGTAAAATCTATAAAGAATCTTTATAAATAAAAAATTTGTTCTCTTCTATGTAATTAATAAAATTTGTGATGTATTAAAACTTAATTCTTCAAAACCTTTTATTTTGATAGGAAATCTAGGTTCGTTGTCAGCGGGTTTAAATATGGGATGGGCATCGCCATCCGCACCTTTACTGATAAATGGTGATGATGCTGGATATCCCGTGCGTTTGAACTTGGAAGAAATCTCTTGGGTGACATCTTTACTTACTCTTGGTGCCATCCCGGGTTGCATTATTTCTGCATTAACAGTGAATATCATCGGCAGAAAGAACACTATGCTATTTTCAGCTGTGCCTTCGGTAATTGGCTGGTTGTTGATAGCTTTCGCAACATCTTCATCGGTAATAGCTATATTCATTGAGTATAACATCCGAGTATTTTTTAGAAAATGTATAAAAGTATTAAAAATTAAAATTTAAAATATTAGTGAGCTATCAATTCTACATCGAATTGTAAATATTCATAATCCTGATTCTTCTTATCTTTCAAACAAAGTTCTTCTAAGATTTATAATTTCTTGAAGTACTTTAGAAATATGCACATTTTAAAAGTACATTTAAATTATATATAACTCTGGCTTTTGACAGCATAATCTATTTTTCTTGGACCACTTTGAATATTTTGCGACTTTCAGTTTAAATTACACACTTTTACGACTTTATCTCGCTGTAATATGAAATCAAACCTAAAATCTCGATCTTTAATTAACAAGAAATGTTTTCCTTCTTAGCAAAGCCTTCTTTTGAGATAAGCTTATACACCGTGATTTATAGATTTGATTACATTGAAATAAAAAAATGTTGCTACATTCATGACGAGTTCAGAGACTTATAAGTTACACTAGAAAAAAATAGCCTAAATTAAAATAAATATTTATTTGAATACTGCCAACTAAACATTTACTTACAATAAATAAATATTTACTTAATAAAAAAAAGTGATTGTTAAATCAAATTAATGTTTTTTGTACCAAAGAAATATATATTTTTATGTTTAATAAATATTTAGTTGGTACACTGAAAAAATTTTCTGGTTGAAAATGGACGAATCAGAAATTTCTCTCTCTCTCTCTCTCTGGTTAAATTTATTAGAATTCTAGTTGAGGTAACCGGAATTCTGATTGATACTATTTATATTTCTGGTAAAATCTACTAGAATTCTTATTTTTACCAGAATAATTATATTAATCAGAATTCTAGTTATCTCAACTAGAATTCTAATAGACATAACCAGAAAATTCTGATTCGTCCATTTTCTGCCAGAATTACTGTTTAATCCAACTAGACCATTTTTCTCAGTGTACTATTTACATATTTAATGAAATTTAGGATATTTTTTTCTCAGTGTAGTAGCTTGCATGTAAACTAGGTATTTGTTTCGCAGGATCTATACATATCGAGGTTTTTATCCGGATTGGCTATGGGCATGCATACTTCAATCACGCCGATGTATTTGGGCGAGATTTCGCCGGCAAAAATTCGCGGTTATTTGGGATCCATGCTGATAGTCGCTATGAAACTTGGTGTTTTGATCGAGTTCACAATAGGTCCGTTTCTTTCGGTGAGAAATCTCGCCCTTATCTCTTTGGCGGCACCTTGTCTGTTCGTGGTCACTTTTATCTGGTTACCAGAATCTCCGTACTATTTGGTACGCTGCGACGCCAAGGAGAAAGCTATAAACTCTCTTGTTCAATTAAGAGGCAAAAAGGATGTTTATAAGGAGGCAGATACCATTGAGCAATCTGTAAAAGCTGATTTGGCTAATAAAGCTGGTTTTCGTGAACTCCTATTTGTACGGGGAAATCGCAGGTAAGACGTTACATTTCGATCTGTCATTATTAGCTTTTTTGTGGTTGAATAGTGTACGAGTATATCTGTAGTAACTTTTGGAATTTAAAGAATATATTTGGTATTTGGCGAAAGCGAGAAAGAGAGTGCAGTCTAGTGCAGCAGTAAAAAACAGACCTATAATGCATCAATAATCTTAGCCAAAATTGTAGAGATAAATTTTGAACAGTATATGTTATCAATTTCTGTTGACAGTCAGATATCAAACTTCATACAGATGATTGAGAAGTATAATATATCCGATGATCTCGGCGAATTGCCGGAAATCCCCATTAAATAAAACTGATAGGAAACGATAGGAATCTACATAATATCTGCCAAAAATCTTATCATTTATCTATATTGTTTCACTTTTTATATTCCAAAAGAAGTGTTATCGTTTTTATCATTATCTGCAAACGGATTTAATCCGGTTGGAAGACGATAGAAATCTTACTTTATATTCTTTTACAAATTTATTATTTTTTACAATTTTGAAAGAAAATCTATAATATATTGTTAATAATTTATTAACGATAGATTCAAAATTTATCTTATAAAATTATAACAGAAACTATTTTGTAATCAATTATACAATTGCAACAACGAAAGTTGCGATGTTTTCCCATCATATTACGATTAAAAATGGTTTTTATTTATCGTGCATGAATGTTACATAATTCAAAACACATCTTATCGTAAAATTAAACAATGGGAAGTAGTACACGAGCATTACGCGGCCTTGTCATCAAATGAATCGGAGTTCTATTTTTCATAATTAGAACATATCACACATACAGAATAGAATAAAAAGTGCAGCGTTATGAGATTTCTTGAATATGAATTCTCAAATTAAGTTCGAAGACGACAGTAAATAAGAGATATTTTTTAAGTTTCTAATATAAAAATGTGTTAATATGTATAATAGCATCTGAAATATTAACACCAAAACTCAATAAATTTCCGTATATTTATAATTATTTATTTATGAAGGAAAATATTAATAGTATAACATGTAAAGTAGTTATGAAAAGAAACGATGAAAATTGCGGATTTATGATTTCGTTGTGCAACTACGATTCTGAGCTATGAAAAGAAATGATAAGAAACGATGATGTAACAAATAGGACAATTATGAAAGAAAACGATATCGAATCGTATAACGAATAGTTTTCTTTCATAATTTTCATTTACGATATTCTTTTGTTAACTTCCGATTCATAAGTAACTGTGAGTGAAAATGACTGAATTATTTCTTATCGTTTCTTTTGATCTTTTTTTAATAGAGATATGATAATTAATGCTTGTTTGCCATGCTATATATCCCTACTGAAAAAAATCACGTTAGACAGTTGCATCATAAAATTATGTAATTAAAACATGTAAATCACGTAACGGATTGTTCCAAATCAGTACGTGATGTTAAAATTACATATTTTGAAGAGTCACGTGATAATATATTCTTTTTTCTTCTATTTCTATCATTTAATTCTTTAAAATTTGATAACTATAAAATCACATGATGAACAAAATTATTTCTAATATCATGTGATTTTTCAAACTACATCATTTAAAAAAATCATGTATTGATTTGGAACAATCCTTTACGTGATTTACATATTTTAATTACATGATTTCATTATGTAACGTTGTGACATGGTTTTTTTCAGTAGGGATGCCAACGGATTTGCGGCAGAAATGAGTAGGATTTGCAGCTCTTGCTCGGTTTCTACTGCCAGTCTGCCGTTATTACCCACGCAGTTTCTGCTCGCTTTCTGCCATCAATCTGCTAGTATATAACATGTCAACAGACTCTGTCGATAGATTCTGAACTAATGCGGACACAGATTGCTATGAATCTGCAGTGGGAGTTTAATTAAATTTACTGCCAATCTTCTAGCAAACTGTTTGCGGTTTTATTCGCGAACTAATATGAAACTTTCGGTTTTCTTACCGTGGCATTACAAATAAATATTAGATTATATTAGTAAAATATTAGATAATTATTGGTTTAAAAAATTTTAGTATTAATAACCTTTAAGAAACTCGGAGTTATAATAACTTTTAATGAAGTTAAAATTATCGTTTTATTATACAGAATTAATGATCGATTTAACTGATAAATTCGATTGAATAATTTTGCAGAGCTCTAACAACATTGGTGTGTCTGGTCATATTTCAACAGTTGAGTGGCTCTCAAGCCCTGTTGCAGTACGCTCAAATAATTTTCGATAAGATGAACAGTAATCTAGAAGGCAAATACTTGACTATAGTACTAGGCGTCGTGCAACTAGTCTGCACGATTGTCTGCATGATCATCACTGATTGCAGCGGCAGGAAGTTATTGTTGACGATTTCCGCTATCGGTACGGCGTGCTCCACTGCCATAGTCGCAACATATTTTCATCTTCAATACTATCACGTGGATATCAGCAATATAACGTGGTTACCCGCTATAGGCGTGATCCTATTCATAGTCATGTATGGCCTCGGTTTGTCAGTGTTACCATTCACCATGGCCGGCGAATTGTTTTCTATGAACGTGAAGGCCCTCGGCAATATGATAGGCATGATGACGATGACACTCGTAGCGTTTGTCGTGACGAGCTTATATCTGATCATAAGTGAAGGTGCCGGTGTGCACACGCCGTTCTGGATATTTACCGTGTGCTGTTTTGCTGGTGCTATATTCACGTTTTTCTATGTACCTGAAACTAAAGGCAGGACGTTGGAACAGATACAGAGAAAACTTCATAATCCGTCGAAATGAAAAGAATTTGAGAATGAAGTATGCTTGAATGTGTCGATCTTCTCTTGATGAATATTTGAAGAATATTAATTTATAAAATATTTGCGTTTTATCGACGAAAACAAGATTGAAAAACCTTTCGAGATCATAAAATGTAATAGAGGCTTAGTAATGGATAGTTTTTAAGCTATAGTATACCAAAGACGTAAAACGGAACATATGATGCTGTAGAGTAAACTTAAGAAATCTCATTTTTATGTAACCCTATAAAAAAATTAACGGAATTAGATCTGACGAACATTATTGAAACATAAACAAATATATACATATATATATATATATATATACATAAATAATAGTTACATGAATGAGTAAATACATTTACGCTAACTTTTTTTTATAGTTACGATAGCTAATTCTATGAGAATAAGCTGATAATTTATACATATACATGTATAATATGTTGTTGATGTTATAAATTAAGATACATTATAACATTGATAAATCGAACAGATTTTATAATACTATGTCGAGAGTTTTATATATTTATTGAAATCAGTGTCATCTGTGAAGTGTTTGTGTAAAGATATAAGTAATGTTATATAACATTAAAATAATAATTAATTATATAATATAAAGATAAAAGAGAAAAGAAAGGTCTATTTATTATCAATGTCTATTAATATTAAAATTGCGCTATAATATTAATAGAATTAAATATTGAATTTTATAATTAAAATATAATTCACGCTAAAAAATAAATGTGAGATTATTATATAATTGTAATAAATAATTTCTAAAAAATATTACAATTTAATTATGTTATTTTCGTTGATACTTTGCTGCTGTTTGTTTATCTTTTTTATCTATTATATCAATAATCTTTTATGACAGATATATGAAATATTCTGATGAGATAATATGATAAAAAAGAAGCCAAAATAGTAATATTACACAGGATGTTAAAAAAAAAGCGTAACCAAATTTTAGGAATATGTAGTACTTGTGAAAATAAACTGAAAAGTTTTAATAAGCAGAACTATTTATTTCCAAGTTATAAAGAATTTTCTATTTATATAATGAATAATCCGTCCGTTTCGAATATATAAACGTTTATACGCGATTGCACATTTGTACACTCGTCCTTCATTAGCTTCTAAGCTCATTACTTATTGATAACGGTTTTTAATTCTCCGTACCGTCAATGTTAGTTCATCCACGAACGTCCACGTTATCGTTGACGGTGTCTGGTTCGACACATAAATTGCATACTGTTGTCAACAAATACGAGATAAACTTGGAATCTTTGAACGTGTTCGATCTTCAATGAAAAGATGTGCCGAATTGTGTGTTCAAATGAACGGAGAGAAGCATATTGAATATCTGCTGTAATGAAATTTATTTTTTGCTACTCGGAAATAAATGCTCGGGAAAAAATGTCATATATAATTATAGAAAATTATGTAAAATTATATATAAAATTGACATATTTTATATAATTATATATATAATATGTCCATTAAATAACATTTTTTCTCGGGTGGTTTTTGGATTTCTGCTTATTAAGACTTTTCGGTTTGTTTTCACAATTACTACGTATTCCTAAAGTTTGGTACCACCTTTTTTGAGCATCTTGCATAATGCTTTTGTCAATACAGATACAATAATGCTTTTATTAGTATTTTGCAATTAACTACGTACATAACATATTTAATTTTAAGATATAAATTCGAATTATACATAACACGATATTTGATAATTAAAATTATGTAAAAATTTTCCAAATTTTCAGACAAAATACGTGTTTAAAAAATGTCTTTTTTAAGTAGATGTTATAAAGTGTTTTTCTGATTACAAGACGTTTAAAAAATTTTAGGACATTAATGTTCTCCTTTTTACATATCGTCTGACGATTACAATTTTATATCTACCTCTTGAAATGCTTTAGATGAAACTGATATTATATTATCTGCATCACTTGGATAAGAATACTGTATTCATCGTTACAAATTCATTCATTTATTATTTGTACACGACGGTAGGTGATTGTATAAATAGTGAAAACATGAAGAAATTATATCTCGCTGTTATAGCAGGTACGTATATATTGGGATAATTACAGAATAAAAAGATATCTCGACAGAATTGTTGAGTATTTATTTAATTATTATGTAAAATAAATTAAGCGTTTTTTCATAATTAAAGTTTATTTAAATTATTTTTATTTAATACGTTTAATTATTCCTATTCAATTTGTTTGCTAATTGATTAATTTTGATTAATGAAAATAAAAATCGGAGCGTAAATCGAATGTAATGGGAGAGTAACAGAACTTCTAGGAGACGAAAATTAGAACAATAAACGTAAAAGAAGCATTTACGCTTCTTTTACATTTTGAGATGTTTCAATTTTTTTCTTCTAGAAGTTTTATTTACGCTTCTGTTACTCTTCCATTATATTCGGCTTACGCTCTGATTTTTATTTTCATCAGGGTGCTTGAAATTCTTTGTAAAATTGTCTTCTTTTGCCTAATTAATAAAACATATGATATATATTAAAGTTTGTTTAAACCCTGTTATTTTAATAGGAAATTTAGGTATGCTGTCAGTGGCCTTATTTAACGGTTGGGCATCGCCAACTTTGCCTTTATTGCTACATGGTGGTGATGCTGAATATCCTATACGTTTAAACTTAGAAGAAGCCTCTTGGGTGACAGCTTTACTTAGTATTGGTGCCGCCGCAGGTAGCGTTATTTCTGCATTGATTGTGAATATCATCGGCAGGAAGAACACCATGTTACTTACGGTTGTGCCCTCAATAATTGCCTGGTTGTTAATAGTCTTCGCAACATCATCGTGGGTAATTTAATATACAATATTCATTAAGTATATCTAAGTACTTTTTACAAAATGATATGTTGGATGTACAAAAACATTGAAAGTTAAAATTTTTTAAATATTTGTGAGATTTCAGTTCTATACTGGATCATAATTCAACTAGAAAGGATTGGTCGATTGATGTCGATCAACGTTGAATCAGCGTTGATTCGAGATTGGTTAATTACTCATTTCTGGGAATATTTCTAATTATGTGATTCTTCTAGTCTTTCAAGAAAAGTTTTCACAATTTTTTCAAAATTTCTTGAAATTGGAAGAACATTTTAAAGGTACATTTAGGTACACTCTATAGTTTTTTAACAATATAATCTACATTTCTTGAACCTCTTTGAATATTTCGCGACTTTCAGTTCTACACTTTATCTCGCTGTAATTCTAACGCGAAAATTATTTGAAAATTATTTTTACAATTATAATAATAATTAGCTTGCAATTTACAAATGGTTACAGCGTTCGATTCCACTGTAAGGAAAATTTCTTGAGAGAGAAGAGAGAATCAATTAATATTATAAAATAAATATATTTAAAATATATAATTACGCAAACTCTAAACGCTATTTAAAAAAAACCTATTATATCTCTCATTTGGACAATATTTAGATAATATGAGTATTTATTATATATCTATTTTAATTTCTTAATTAAGTCCATAAAAAAGCGATATTATAAACTTTGGAAACTGTATAAAAGCAAATAAATAAGCAAAGCTTATAAATAAATATGTATAAAAAGATATATGCTTATCTCATATATAAACAAATATACATGATAAGTTTCTGTGTAATATTATTCTATTAAAAAAGAGATCATGGTATCTTCTTGAATCCGAAAGATAAAGTTGCTCGAAGTAAATGATCGATTTTGTCTGTTCAATCTCTTTATTTTTCTGTCATTTCTCTGTTTCACAGGAGCTATACATATCGAGGTTTATATCCGGACTAGCTACGGGCATCACTTCTATGTCTACGCCGATGTATGTGAGCGAGATTTCGCCGGCTGACATTCGCGGCAATTTGGGATCTGTGCTGGCAGTCGCTGGGAAACTCGGTATTTTGATCGAGTTCACGATAGGTCCATTTCTTTCAGTGAGAAATCTCGCCCTCGTTTCTTTGGCGGGACCATGCCTGTTTCTGGTCACTTTTATCTGGCTACCGGAATCCCCATATCACTTGATGCGTTGCAACACCAAGCAAAAAGCCATAAACTCTCTTGTTCAGTTGAGAGGCAAAGAGGATATTTACAAGGAGGCAGACAGTATTGAGCAATTTGTAAAAGACGATTTGGCTAATAAAGCTGGTATCCGTGAACTCCTATCTATACCAGGAAATCGCAGGTAAGAAGTCAAATTTCAGTTTGTTGTTTTATCAAAATAAATTAATAAAATTTTAATTCACGAATCACAAAAACTCTTTCAAAGATTTCTTGTTACCACGAATAAAAATTAGATATTGGATTTAAAAAGATTTACAAATAAGTATTATGTATAAATCATTTTTTATGTTTAACTTACTTTTCAAGATATTTGAAGGGTCTAGGATTTTTTGTACATTATATATATATATATATATATATATATACATATACATACAGTGTTTAGAGTTATAACAAACTTTTAAAACATTTTGATAATAGAACGATTTAATCGATAAATTTGTTCGAATAATATTGCAGAGCCCTAATAACGTTGCTGTGCCTTGCCTTAGTTCAACAGTTGAGCGGTTCTCAAGCCGTAATGCAGTACGCTCAATTAATATTTGATGAGATGAATGGTAATCTAGAAGGTAAATACTTGACTATGATATTGGGCGTCATGCAACTAATTTGCGCGATCGTCAGCATGTTCATCACCGATTGTAGCGGCAGGAAGTCATGGCTGATGATCTCCACCATCGGTTCTGCATGCTCTACCGCTATGGTTGCGATATACTTTCATCTTCAGTACCATCACATAGACACCAGCAATATAATATGGTTGCCCGCCATTGGCGTGATCTTATATAGAGTCATGTTTAGCCTGGGTTTGGGGGTGTTACCGTTCACTATGGGCGGCGAATTGTTTCCCATGAACGTAAAGGCTCTCGGCGTTATGATAGGCATAATGACGATCCATACCACAGCCTTTGTCGTGGAGAGTCTGTATCTGGTTGTAAGCGAAAGTGCCGGTATGCATACGCCATTCTGGATATTCACCTCGTGCAGCCTTGTTGGTACTTTATTCACAATTTTCTATGTACCTGAAACCAAAGGCAGGACGCTGGAGCAGATACAAAAGAAATTGCACGGTTCGTCGAAACAAGAAAAACTCAAGAATGAAGTACTTTCACCTGTCAATATTTGATAAATATTGATTTGCGAAATATTCGCCTTTTAATCGAGGAAAGCTTATGAGGTCAGTTTACATTGAAAAAATACTAAATTTCGTATTTATTTTATATATATATATATATATATATATATATATATATCTAAAAGCTATTAATTTAATTTTAAATTATCATTTTTTATTGAGTAAATATTTATTTACTGTAAGTATATGTTCAGAGTACTATTCAAAGAAATATATATTAAGATTTAGTATATTTTTTTCAGTCTACACTTGTTTCTACAATTTTTTCTTTCTCACACAGAGTTTTACTGAGACATATATTAAATTTTTTGCCTTGACTATGTCAAATATATAAAGTAACCACGGCAATGTCGCTGCGCTTGGCTTAGCGCCGAGACACTACCGTGTCTCCAGATTTATAAAGGTGTCTTTTTATGTTCGACGCTCATTTTCGGCGTCAAAATAAGTCACGTGATAGAAATTGATGAATATCAAGCGTCAATTTTTATCACGCGACTTATTTCGACGCTGAAAATGAGCGTCGAGCGTCAGCATGAAAAGGCACTTTAATTTATAATTTATAGCTATTGTACAAAATCTAGTTTATAAAAAAAATTTATGTGGTATTTTCTTAACAAATATTTGTTATGTGCGTTTCTCAAATTTTCTTAATAAATATTTGTTATGTGCGTTATTGTAAAAAAAAATAATATCCATGTTATGCAAAATGCGCAATGAATCGTATAATATCTAATTAGATGTACAAATTGTTATTCACATATTGCTTTTATTATTTTAACATTGATAATTGCCGATAAAATTGACATCATTATTCTTCAGTTTGTGTGAAAGTATTTTTACTAAATAAGTTTTATTAAAATTAGTGTATAATTATTTAGTAGTTCCTTGTGTGTCAGATGTAAATTTTATTATTTCAATTTTAAATAAAAATGTTTCTTTAGCTTTATAAATAAAAATATCTTAAAATTAAAAGGATTTCGTGAATAAAGAAAAATCTTTGCAAATATACTTTATAAAAAATCTTTATGAATCAAATTTGTAATGAATATCTCTCTTTTCTTCTATCTAATTTATGAAATTACTGATATGTTAAATCTTCTTCAAAATTTCTTAAAATTATTTTTATAGGATATCTAGGAATGCTGTCAATGGACTTATCATATGTATGTCGGTTGGGCATTATCATCATACGTTTACTGATAAATGGTGCCCGAGCATCTCGTGCGTTTAAAGGACCTATTTCGTCTTTACGTCGAATGTCGTTGTAAGCGGACGTAAAGTTTAGTTGCGTCATCAATCGTGCATGGATTGTGAACATTAATGCAGAAAGGTGCTCACTTCTCATTTTGTGAAAATTTCCGAGGGACAGAATCAATTACCGTGGGTGTACATCAAATTCTGGAAAAACAGCGATTTTGACAGAGTTTGATGTACAATAACTCAAAAACTGTTCATTATTTTACTTCGTGCCCATGGAGACTTTTGATCAGGACGATCAGAACTACAACATATTACAAATTCAACTAAATTAGCTGGGACCCATTTTCCATATGTTCTGTGCGGAATCCTTTGAAAGGAATCTCTTGGGTAAACATTTTTACTCTCGATATCGGTGCCATGATAGGTTGCTTTTATTTCTGTATTGATGATGAATATCACTGGTAGAGAAAAACACCATATTATTTACGACTATGCCCTAAGCAATTAATTGCTAATAGCCTTTGCAACATCGTCGTCAATAATTTAATAATTATTACATTTACTAGGTATAATTGAATACTTTCTACAAAACAATAAGTTGGATGTGTAAAAGCATTGAAAGTTAAAACATTCATGTGATATTATAGTTTTACATTAGGTCATAATACTCTTCTCTTTCAAAGTTTTTCCAAGCTTTTCAAAATTTCTTGAAGTTTGAGAGTACATTACAAAAGTACATTTAGATTACACTCTATTGTACTCTAGCTTTTAACGGCATAATCTACTTTTCTTTGGACTTCTTTAAGTGTTTCACAACTTTCTGTTTAAATTACAAACTTTATCTTGCTGTAGTATGCAATCAAACCTGTAAGCGCGATAGTCTTTAATCGACAAAAAATAGTTTCCTTTTTTCCTAGTGAACAAAGCCCTTCGATAAGCTAATATATTAGATAAATCAGTTAATTAAATGTAATAAAATTAAAGGAAACAGTGTTTCTAACAAAAAAATTATTCGAATATTGTTTAATTATAATATTAATTAGCTTGTGACATAATGGATAACTATACTTGTTTCACTATATGAAGATTTGTAGAGAAACAATTGATATCGCCAAATATTAGAAATATAGTATATAATTGCGCAAACTGAACGTTATGAAACAAATAGAATAAAATAAAAAATGCTATATATTTTTCATTTAATCAATATAAATTTATTAAGATACGTAAGTATATGAAATTTCTATAAAAATTTATTTTGAATTAAACTTACAAAGATATATGTGACATTAAACTGCAGCATAGAAAAATAAATATGCTTATAATATACATACATATTAAGCTTCCATATGATGTTAAATCTCTCTCTTTCAAAAGACAGAGAGAGATCGTAGTATCTGTTTAAGTTGAAAAGATAAATTGCTCGAGGTAAGGATCAATTTGGCTTGTTCAATTCCTTTATCTTCCTGTGTTTCGCAGGAGGTATACGTACAAATGAAGGTTTACATCCGGTCTGATTACGGGTATCGCTTATTCAACTACGTCGATATATTTGGGGGAGATTTCGCCGGCAGCAATTTGGGATCCATGCTGACGGTTGTCGTCAAATTCGGCACTTTAATTGAGTTCCCCTACGATAGATCCGTTTCTTTCGATGAGAAATTTCACCTTCACCTCTTTGGCGAGGCCGTGCTTATTTGCGGTCGCTTTCATCTGGCTACCGGAATCCACGTATCATTTGATGCGCTGAGAGTCCCAATAGAAAGCTATTACTCTCTTGTTGAATTGAGAGGCAAAGAGGATGTTTACATGCAAGGAGACAGATAGTATTGATCAATTCGTAAAAGCCGATTTGCTAACAAAGCTGGTTTCCATGAATTTCTATTTGTATCGAGAAATCGTAGGTAAGACATTAAATTTCAATTTATCGTTATATTAATAATCATTCGCAAATCAGATAAAATTTTTGAAAATTCCATACCGAGGTCCTACTTTGTTTTTAATTCCATTTTTGACATTTCCGCATTTATTAATAAATTTTTTCAACTTTATTTTTTTTCTTCGATTATCTATGCATCGAGCAAAGGAATAGAAATTTCTATCGTGTGGTTAGTGATCGTTATTATAAAGTGGATGAAGATAAATAAAGTTATATCTGTAGGTTTTTTAATAAAAAAATCCATCGATATATTTACATAATAACACAGGAACTTCACAGAGATCATACAGCAATCACATACATAGATTCAGACTATTAACAATTGCATGTGATTGTGCTTCGAGTATATTCATCTTTTCATGAGCAATGATTGTGTTCCTCGTCGCTCGACGGCAAGGATTGATTAACCACGATCGTTATAGCATCATTGGGTTGCAGCCAGGTCCTCGCGTTATACTCAATTTTCGGCGAACATTTTGTTGGAATCTCTGCTACTGGCGTTTCTGAAATATTTATGTATAATACCTTAAAACCCCTCATCTGTCCATTTAGTTATTTATGCAGCAAAGTTTAATAAACAAAAACGCAAATTTCAATAAATTACTTTAACTCTGTTTATTCAATCTTTTTGGAAAAGACAATTGTTTGTCATAAAAATAGATTTTTACGAGATATCATTTTATAATGTTGAATACACATTTTTATCATTATTTGAAATTAATTAAAGCACATAAACCTCCAGAGAGGTTTTGGAATAATTAATTTTTGTTTTCCTGATAGTGAAACATATATTTGAGATATGACAGCTTTATTTCGGGGACTCGATATTTTTTATAGAATATTTCATATATGTTGTACTTTTAATAATTTTTTTAAAACTCGAGCTGAGACGAAATCGCTCCAGCTCCAATTTTTAGTGACAAGTGAGGAGAGAGAGCTTTGTGACAAGTGAAAATTGATACTCAAGTTTTAGCAGGTTGATTTATGAAAACGGCACGTGCCGCGCGAAATATACGTATACAAGCATGATGTTTTACTTGTGATAGCAAAAAGGCAACGTTTCTTCTTTCTTCTCACGTTTCTAGATTTGTAACTCTATTTTTAGTTCCTTCCGAAACAAGATATGCATGCACAAGTGCACATACGCGCTCACCTGGCCTCTCTATCTGACTCGGTGATGACGATGTATTATCTGGAAACTGGACGTGCTTCCTCGATACTCGACTCCCGGTAGGACTTTTCTCCGATAACAGAGGATTGTGACACGCTGTGGGGCTTTGAGTCGGTGTTGCTTTTGTTTCATTATTAGTTATACCTCTTCGTGAACTTAGACAGGATGTGGTAGCGGTCGTAGTCGCTGGTTGAGTTACATATCTCACTACTGGAACCTTCAACGGATATTGCATGAGATGTACGATGTAAATGGATGTACGATGAAAAAGAGTTATTTTATAACATGGATTTAGCAAAGTAACGATACAGGCTGCTCGTTAAAAGGCTTACAAATTATAGTCAATATATATATATGTTTTTTTATGAGAATTGTAAAGATTATAGGAAAATTTTGTTTATATAGTGATAATTTTAATACGAGAAAAGAATTCAATGCGGCACATCTCTTCAACGCACATCACTTCAAAGGGACGTTACAAATATAAAGGAATCTAACAAACGATTCCCTTGGGATATTGATCACGTAATTGACGTAATAGTTGTTACAGCTGTCCCCTTCGATCGTTAGCTTTTGGGAAATATTCATATTTTTTCATAGATTTTGGTTATCGCTATTTTCTTATTTTTACACCATCCGCTATTATATAGGGGATATACATAAACACCTGTATGATTAATT